TTTTAGGCTCCCCTGCCAAACCTCACAAATGCCTTCCACCTCCCTCTCCTCCCACATAACTAACAGTCAATATAAGGGCCACACAGTGAGGTTACTCTGCTAACTGCTGCCATGTTCAGGAACAGGTTTATCCTGGTGCGGGTGATTTTGGGTTTTTGGCATTTTTATTTTGCTTCCAACTGTCAGAGGATGTAACAGATGGGAAGAATTAACTTTCTTTGCTGAGGTGGCAAAGAGGAGGCTTCTGCACCAGACTCCACATTGCTAAGCACTGGGGACTCTCCAGTCGGAGAGAAACAAGCAAAAACAATAATCTGAAGCCTGGATTCCACCAGGATCTCTCCCTCCAGCTCATCTAGGTCTCTGGGACTTTCAATCTGCAACAGTTATTAAGAAGATCCTGAAAGAAGTTGGAGGGAAGCTTCTTACAAGCAGAATTAAGCAAGAACATTTTCCTAGTCAGCATTATCAAATTATTTCTATGTCTACAACTCAAAGGATATTTTCCCTAGAGAACTCTCATGGAAGAAAACAAACCCCATACTAGTTACATTACTTTCCCCATTCTCCAATACCATTTCAAAGCATACCTTGATGGTCCTGCATCCTGGTTAGTTGACCTACGCTTGAACACCTCCACAATGAACTCGTCCACGTACTACTGAATCCTCACTGTGTTTACCTTAGAGTATACATCCCCTGTTTTGGGGGACAGGATGCTTTACACTTGTCTCACATTTCAGCAATAGGAACTGCTGAACACCCTAACCTGGAGGAAAATTGCAGGAAGATACTTTCAAAATCAAGAGTTCACAATGATTTCCCCCTCTGCTCTTAACCCAGAGGAAAGCCTGGAGTCCCCTAACCCCACCAGCCACAGCCCAACACCATTTCCATCTCTGTCCAAATTTTCACATGGTCATTGAAACCAGGCTACAACACATAATCACATTAAGAACTCAGGTTGTTACGGTGAATTCTGACACAGTACAGTAAACTCAGTGGCCAAGCTGGCTTTGCTATCCTATGGTTTGCTATTTGGACAAATAATGTCTGAGCCCTTTAGAGCAAGTGAATGCTCTTTCCATTACTGTCGGTTTGGAGCGATGCCCCAAAAAATTCAGGTTAATTTTCCAATGAACATTTTGTTTTCTCTAAAGAGACCTGTACAGTTCCACATTGGGTTTAAACACAGTCATGAACGTTTTGTTCTTCCAAGCCAATTAGATTAAAGTTTTTACCTTTTTTTTGAAACTCTGATTTTTTTCTGACAGGAACACCAGCGTTGTCACATAATCTTACCACTGTCAAATGAGAGAGTCCATGGCTCCAAACATTACTATACTGATGTTTGAGTCTGAAAATGTAATTTTAAGAGACTGAAATTGCTTTATGTACATGCTTATTTTATTCCCTTTAGTTACCAGACTTCATGTGGGGGCACTGTATTTTACAGAAAAATAAGGTTAGCCTAAAAAAAAAAGTCTGCACTACTCACTGGTTGTAAACTCTAAAAAGTCCAGATAAGGATAAGAGCTAGTATAAACTATTTCTAGATTCAGAAGTAATTACAGCATAGAATCTAGCTGTAAGTATCTTAGAATGTCCACCCTCCAAATTTTAATGTCTGAAAATTTGAGAAGTCTGACAATAATGAGAATTGTGAAGAAATTAGACAAGCTGAAATGAAGACAGACAAAAGTATTTTTTCATATAAAAATGGTCTTTATTTCTTCAATACAAGGTAAACTACTATTGCAGTTTAAGACCAACACAAAAGTTGGACAGCAAATTGCTTAACAGTCTCCTAAAGGCTGAAAAAAAGAAACCTATGAAAGCTAAAAGTTGTGCAATATTTCAAGTATAACATCTAAAAAAATGTAATTATCCCTAAATTTACAGATTATTTAAGTACCTCTGCTGAAAATGTATTGAAATCCACATTTGCTAGGATACCATCTTACCTTGCAGAGAAATAGAGGTCTCCAAAAACAGCAGTATTCAACAGACTCTTTGGCCTGCCAGCATCAGGGAACTGTTTACTATATATATAAAATCCTTTGGAGTCAGGCATTCTGACAGGCATCCATTTCCTTACATTTTGCAATGCAATTCTGCATTCCACCTTGGACAACCCCCTCCTGTATTTCAAACAATTTCTTGAATATTTACTCATATATCCTTGTGCAAAGCAGGAACCAGGAAATGGAATGGTACAGGAAGACAATACAGCCTTTTGTTTAGAAAGTCAGCAGTGCTGGTAATCATCATAAAAATGTTAGAGTTTACCAAATAGGAATGTATTTCACCTTCAAAACACTTGGCTTTTTTTTTTCCTTTCTGTATTATTTTAAAAAAGGACAACTGCAGTAGTAAGGAATATGAATTTGCAACCACTTGTATTTATAAAAGCACACACATTCCTCATTTTCTTACATATGAAGATCAAAGGAATGTCTGTTTCATAATGTGATAATAATATGCACAGTTTAAAATACTTTCTATTACAAAATACTGTGTAGAAGAGGGTGAGGCTGAAGTCTATTGAATATACTCTAAAATGTTATTACTGAAATTATGTAAAAATCACATTACATGGTACGAATAGATAGGAATTTTTACAACTTAAATGCTCCATTCCATCAGGATCAAAAGTATATGTTTACTATTTTCAAGAGACTTCTGTAAAATTAGTGTATTTTGAAGATTTAAGCACAGGCATATGCATCATCCCAGAACCCATTGCAATCACTGGGGCTACAGAAAGGGTTCATGAATTAACAAACGTATTATATATAAATGGAATAAGGAGCTTTATTGCATTTTGTCCAACATGGGGGAAAACAAATCCCATACGAACATCAAACTGATGAGCTTCTATAGCCCAAACTGCTCCTTAGTAAATTTATCCTCTATAGCTAAATGGGAATCTAAAAATACATGGGATGTCAGACCTTAATAGGGTATGGGGAAGAAAGGGGAGGAAGGCAAAACAAGTACAAAACCAAGAAAACCCCAACTCAACGCCCCCATCCACCCCAAGCTAGTCTGAAGTATTAATTGCAAGGCATCATAATTGCAAGAGACAGTATTTCTGCATAAACATCACGATTCATCAGCATGCTGCAACCATTATGTTCAAGACCTGTGCAGTCAATTACCAAAATAATTTGAATCTCAACTGAATCTACATTGTTTCTATATTACAATCCTTATTTTAGAAAGAATTCAAATTAATTCATATTTTTATATGGACACTGGCCTGCACTTTCCTTCTCTAAAATCTTGAAGAGTTTATATTTCAATGCAGAAGCAATTTAGTGTCTCAGATCTCTGAAGAGTACCAGTCCTAAATGTGCATGTGTTATATTTAAATCTACATGACTGACAGTATCTTAACGAGCATTGTATCAGGAAATTTAAGGCTGTATCTCAGTTCACACAAGAACCAAAGACAATTTTAACAGGCTATGTATAAAATTCTATAAATAAAAATGGGAGCAATGTCTGTTTAACCTGTACACAAAGAGCAAGTGGATAAGGAAAGAAAATCAGGAATTAGGTATTTCTACAAAGAATGCCATGTATTTTACTAGAAACACAGATGACAAGTATATACAACATTTAAATCTCCAATTATCCACATACAACTAGGAAAAAAAACCATTTACAAGGGTTTGGGTATGCAACTAAACAATCAGGTAAAAAAATACAGTTAGAAAAACTAAGCCTCACCAACTTCAAAGGAACAAAACGAGAAAGTACTCAGTCCATAAAGAAAAAAGCTAATTTCTAAACTTAATAAAAATATCTTGTTTAACACAAAAAACAACAGCTATCCAAGCTTATAAGCCACACTGTAAATAAAAATCTGAAGTTCTGACAAACATTTTCCAAAATGCCATCAGAACAAAAAATATTGGCACAGAAAGCAAAAAAGGAATGAGGGAAAAAAGAAAGACTGTACAGTTTTCAAAATGCTATGTTGTTCTTCTTAAGTACTTTGACCTGTCAAAATGCATAATCCTGTAAAAATTTTACTTTAAAAAAACCACCCTCTACTTCTAAAAAATAAACCACCAAAACAAAGTCTGTTGGTAAAGCACCACCACCCCTAAGTCACTACTTGTTAGTTTTGTCTTTCAAGATAAAGGACATGGCCTTTAGATAATATTTTCAATGTTACTTATAAACTCAATATTTGAAAAAAATTAAGTATTTCCTCAGAGATGATTTCATCCTTTCATCAGCAAAAGGAAATGAAATACAACTGAATGAATATTAAACAGCAGTAGCCATCACGGCATCACCACCATTCAGCAAGTTTCCAAACTGCCATTTCCTGCACGTGCACAGAAAATTGCAGGAACCTTTAGTAAACCAAGACTTGGTAAAAATTCTACTACAGATCCAGTTACACATGATGTACATTAGGCATATTCCTTTTTGGTGTTTATCAGGGTCTTTGGATTTTTTCTGTACATTTTTTTGTTTTATTAAAAAAAAAAAAAATCTAACAAAGGAAGCTCACTACAACAAGAGTGTATTACCTAAAATGCAACACAGTACATTTATCTGTTAAAACTAAGAATCTGGAGAACAGGCAGAAATAATGGGCTTCATACAGGGATCTCATCTCTCAGGTCACAATGGTCATTCTGTTTAACTTACATTATTTACCCCCTGCTATTCTTTCCCTGCTATTTCCATTGCCAGCAATGGAAATATGTGAGTGAGAAATGACAATCTATGTGAAAAGAGCAACAGTCTCAAATCTATTTCAATGTGGACTAAAATATCAGTTCCTACATAAAATGCTTGTAACGTTACTTTTATTTTAAAATTTCATATATCTACGCAATGGAACACTACTTACCTGCTGCTTTTCCAGTACTAGCTATTCCCCATTTAACTGCTACAGGCAGGTAATTTCTTCCTTAAAGTTATTACACACAGTAGTAAACAATGTTTTTAAGTAAAGAAAACGAAGTTAACAGTACTGTTTGTAACCAATACCTATTCACAAAAAAAGCAAGAAGTGATTCATGACTTGCTTGATACAACTTTCAGTTTTACAAAATATTTAAAGGCAGTTTTCATTTTCAAACAGGATTAAACAAACACGTGAAATATCTTCCCAGAAGCAAATAGTTCAATTAACACCAGTGATCCCATGCGTGAGGAACTGAGGTACACAGTTTAAGAAAAAAAGAAAAAGGGGCGAGTCTGAAGCTGTAGCCAAGTCCAAAAGCATCAACCTGGCTGCAGGAAACCTGGTTCAATAGTAGGTGCCAAAAATATTAGAGCATTTCAGGCTTATGCAAAACTTTAGCAGTTGCACAAGCTACTGGTCCCAACTCAGTAAAGCATAAAAATCACTCACATATGCAAATACAATACTTAAAGCATATGTTTACATTTCTTGAAATCTATGAAATATAAGCACATGCTTTATACGCTCTGGAAAACCAAACAGATTTAAATGCTTTCCTGAACAGGGTAACATTTTAAGTCAGCTGTAAAATCTTCAGAATTGGTAAAAAAGAAATCAAGAGGCTTCTAAGAGTTGCCTCTTAAAGCCATCTGAGGTCTTGAAACTTAACTTAAAACATTAAGTGCAGCTATTTGAACGAGTGACAACTCCAAGAGTGTGTCTGTTACATAACATTTTACAACAGACTAAAAGTGAGCCTTTGTGCAAGGCTGACGGAAACGAAGCTTTTGCAGCTTTTATGAAATTTGCTTGCATTTGACACTTGATGAAATTTAAAACAAATTCTTTAATTTGATGCCTACTTTCACTGAGTGCTCCATTAATTTGTTTTTAGGTAAATTTACAAAACCTCATCTGACAAATTTAATCAGTGCCATTTTTTGCTAAAAACATTTTAAATATTGCCCACTGGTGAACAAGGACATACAAATGTACCTTCTCTTCTATATGCACGTGTGAATAAACCCCAAAGTATTAAGAAAATACCAAACCCATGAAGTCATAAAAATGGTAACATCTTGTTTCTTCTGGCACATTTCTAATATACAACTATGTACAGACTGCTACAGCCTTGGGGGTGGACAGGGAACACACACAAGCACTATTACTATAAAACTGTAAACAACTGCAGGATTTTGGGTGTTTTAAACCTAACCTTTCTACCCCTTATTATGGGCAGTTTAAGTTCATATGAACAGTTTAAGTTTATATTAACTCTAGTGTCAATCAGGATCAAGGCTGTATGAGAGATAAAATTTTCAGTGTGCTAAAAATCACAGACCTGGGACTATCTCACCTCAGAACAACCGACCACAGAGAGCTGCAGTTTTTACAGTTTTATAAGTCAATTAGCAAATTCACAAGCCACCTAGGTAAACACTGCTAAAAAGCAAAACAGAATTAAAGGTTTCACGTAACCACCTATTTTTGTATCAAAATTGAGTGGGAGAGCGCAACATTAGTATGTTTAACTCGCTGAATCCAAGATTAGGTTGAGGCATAGGCAAGAACTATTGCGATGTTTCTGAAGACAGCATCAACGTTTTCATTGTAACATTATCTTTAAATATTGCTGAACACATGACTTTCCCTGAGGTGTAAACATCAAATAACTTGAACAGCTTTACACATCAGCCCCATTAAACAGTTTATTACAACACTACATCTACTGTAATCAGTGGTGCTGTGTACAGACATTATATGAACAGTTTAACATGAACAAACTACTATAAAAACAAGCATTTACTTGACTTTTTTCAATTGCTTGCACATTATAATTGCCAAATGTATATAACCAGTAATAAAGTTGCAAAAGCTATAAGGTTTAAATCACACAGGTTTCCCTCAAATAAAACAGTTAAGCAACATAAAAAAGTAAAAGAGCTACTGGTTACCATGTATGCAGATTTGCTTTATTCAGATCTATTCCTGTTCATATTATCCATGAATCCTTACAGGCTCAGTTCAATCACATGAAGCAAACTGCTGGACAAGCATCTTTCCTTGAAGAATGTATCTTGTCTTGCACGCTGTTCCTCTTCCTTCAGCTGTAATGTGTCAAAATTTGTGATGTAGATTTTGCTACTCCCCAAAACACACAGAAAATTGTTGGCTTATCTATACACACACAACTCGTGCATCTACTTCACTGTGATGTTAACTAACATAAAACACCCAGAAGCAGTAGCTACTCATTTGAAGTTGTTTTCTAATACAGTAATTAAAAATAAGATTAATGCTGTTGAACAACGAAGTTGAAAGAATATAAACTTCACAGTTAAAGTATTGATGATAAAGAAATAACTACTGCTTCTGTGTCTGACTGCCAAATTTATATAGAACACTTCCTAAAGTATGCATTCTGCAAGAGTAACTGAACAAGAATTTAAAGTAATTTTACCACAATTAAATTTTTACATTTTTACCTGCCCACTTACATAAGTTTTAAGATGGCTTGACATTTAAGTAATTAATTGATTATATAATGAAGTGGATGGCTCACAGCTCAGTAACATTTAAAAGCACACAGAATCTGACACCAGTACTTCAAAAGACTAGTGGCAAGCTGGATGGGGTTCACATCTAAAAATACACACTTGCAGTTATGCACAAGAACCCACTTTTCAATTAATACAATGTAGATTTGCAGGTTTCCTCACCTCCTTGCCTTGAAAAAACCCCAAGCCCTACTTTCTGCTCTCATTTATTTTGGCAAATCAGGGAACCACACAATTCAAAGTTAATTACTGTAAGAGTTCACAAAATACTTGGGAGAGTATAATTTCATACACTGGATTTCAGTTGAATTCCATTACAAAACAATTAGCTACCTTAATTTCATTAATAATTCACAATTTCAACACTCAATTTCAAAATAGTTTCAATCAAGTTCTTTTAAAAACCCAACACATTAAATTATTCATCTGAAAACCAAGGCATTTAGAGAAGCAATTTCATGAACATGCAACAGTACACAGCTGTCAAATATTCTTCTATTAGTACAATACTTTCAAAGCTGGGAAAACTAAGTATGCAATTTTTCTTCATTTCCTCAAAATGACTGTTAACAATAACTTTTAAAAATTCCAAAGTATAACCAAGTATATCCTATACACTATAGTATGCACATAAACTAACCCTGATCAGTAAGTGAAATGTCTTCTCTTATTAACAGATTTTGTTCCCAGGTCCTGAATGCATCAACAACTACTTTTGGGGAAGTTCCTTCCCCAGAGGCCAGTGTTTCCATGGGAGTTATGTCTTTCTGAAATTAATTAGTAGCAAAGTGACAAGGTGCTACCTCCACAAGAAAAACACGTTCGGAGCTGTGAGCTAAGTTAGCACAAACAGACAGGAGAGAATCTCAGTTTTCTAGTGGAGAAAGTCAGTACTTGACAGCTGTGAGACTGCACATCAGAATTTGCTGCTCTCATCATACAATTGCTGCAGCCAGAATTATGGATCTTGATTATGTCTATGGCAACAGTTAACAGATCCAAAGTGCCCTATATATGATTTAATACTACCATAAGAAAGCTTCAGTTCCTGGGAATAATTTGCTATATCTGTAAAGGTACTTATGGATCTACAGGAACTCTAAAGAATGCACAATAAAGTGAATTTAGGACTAATGCTTTTTGGTATAGGGCTTTTAAGATGGCCAGCACCACACTGAGCCTTAATTTTTAAAAACATGACCAACTAAAATCCAAAGTAGCGTACATTTCAGTTCTAAGTATTCTGCCACTGTATCTTGGCAAAACTGGAAACACCTGTGGTTCCAAAAAGAAATAAATCTGTATGGATTATACCTGCATGCTCAGCCTTTTTCAGTATTCCACAAGCAAGTAGAATATTGAAGAAACAAAAAACTTTTTAAAAAATTAAATCTCTAGTCAGTATTTCTTGGCATCTTTTCCATCTGCCTCAAGCTCATACATAAGCTATCTGTCCCAAGCATGTGTTAGATTTGTACAATTTAACAGACAGCAATCAGTTTCTCAGCATTTCTAACAAAATTTACCAACTCTATCCAAATTTCAGACTTAGGTGTTGAATGGAAATTTTGTGGTTTAAAAGTTAGGGGTTTATGCCAGAACATTGCACAAATGAAATCCCAGAACTTGAGTGATCAAACATTTCTATATTTATGCAAGATGCAACTTGAGCACTTTTTTACCCACAAAAACAAATTCTTACAACAAAACCCCAGTAATTTCTTATATATATATATATATATATATCAACAGCATCTTGCAATAGCAGCTCTAATTTTTCCCTTAAATTCCAATTATCCAAACATTCACATAAAAGCTTTAAACAGCCTTTAAAAGTTTGAAAATTCTACAGCAATTTTAAAGCTGTATATACATACAACCCTCAAGTTTTATTATAGTAGTTTATTTTCAGAGATTGGATTTCAATCTCACATGTCACATTTCAGTAAAATGCACAAGATACATTTGTTATTATATCCTAGACACTCCTATGAATTACTTCATGTAATTCTCCTTTATTTTATTCTATACATGAAGAAAAAGAAATATACAAACAAAAAATCCCAGAGAAAATACCAGCTTAAAAGCCAAAAATTTCTTTTTAATTTAACCTACATCCCAGAACATCACAAAATACCCCAGATATTCTGATGCTTTAGCTGTAACATAGTGAGCAAGAAGGAATTTCAAGCTTGACTTTCTATTTATCTTTCAGCATGTAAGCACAGAGACTCATGTGGTTCTGTTCACTGTACAGGTACAGACTATTTAATCAGCACTAGCATCTTCTCACATTTGTTGCCTGTTACCCCCTCTTATTTTGAGTGTACTTACCTGCTGCCTTTGCTCAGTCTTAGTGTATAATTTAAGATCAACACAACAACAATTTCATGGCTGTATATCAATTTTACATGGGGGAAAATCCTCCTAAACTAACTTAATTTGTCAGGTATCTTTCTTCTATTATCCCAGCCTATCTATTCATCAAAACTAACTGATGAACAGAGAGGTGCGTTCAGAAAATTCAATCTTTAGTTTACAGGTTAAAAAGATATTAATTATTGGCAAGTATTTTTCACATTCATATATGAGTTAGAGACAAAAAGGTAGCTCGAGCTGCCACATGTGTCTCTTCTTTATTTTTGGTAAAAAGAAATCTTAGTTCTCAAACCACAATGAGCAAAAGTAACAAAGTGATTTTTTTTCATTCTTTGAAGAACATTGGCAAACCAACATTTTCACTACTGTATTTCATACGCGTAAAAGTTTCTTGGGGAACTTTTCACACAGATGAAATTTGTCAAAACTAATGAATTCACAAATAAAGAAGCCCAGGATATGAGGAAAAAAAATATAAGTGTGTCTACAGACACCCCAGAAGTCAGTAAAATTACAGCAACATATTTATGGAAAAAAGTAATAAAAGTTATTCATTTGAAAATAAGTAGCATAAGATATTCTGTTCATTTTTTAAATCCTCGTTTCACCCTCAAGAAAATCAATTTATCACTGAACATTAATAGACAAACTCTGTATTTCTGCAAAGCACCAGAGTAATAGTTAAAACAGATTTTAAGAAGCACATAAACCAGTGGCACTGCTTGCCTCTATTCATGTTATGCTGGATTGCAAATACTGAATCAGATGCACAAAGCATCATTTCTCTGGTGAATGCTAAATACAGAAGAATAGTTCCAGCCCCACATAAAACACACAGTTAAGAAAAAAAAAAAATAAATTAGGTAAACAATATTAATAATAGTTCAACACTGAGACCTGATATAATTCTAGACAGGTATATATACCCAGGTCTTGAACAATGTTACCACATGATTCACTTAATATTAACTGGAACCTTATTATTAAAATAGCCTATTAAAAGCAAGCATTTGCCAATTCATTCCAAGTTTTCTTAAAAGGCTAATTTCATACTTCACTTGATGTTTAAGTGGTTATTAGCACAGTTACAGAACCGTTCCAACTTTGAGAAGCAAAAATATAAAGAATACTATGTACTATGTAAGCTATCAGTACCACTTCCCCTCCTACTAACACAAAAAAATCCAACCATGTTATTTCTTCAATCACTCTAAAGCTGAAAGTAATTTCAGAGTGATCTGAGAGCAGAAGAAGCATACAAGCCTCAAACTTCAAATTATTTTGCTTACAGTGGTTTGAGAGCAGAAAAATCAGAGAATAAACAAGAAATATGGAGTACAAAGTCTACATACATATCAACTGTTACAATGCTGTGGTTTCGTCTTTGCAATTCAATCCAAATCCAGTTTAAATAGGAAATAATCAACCCAGTAACAAAAACATAAAATGAAAAACTTAACATTCAGCAGTTATAGAAATTCAGACAGATTAAGATTGGGACAATGTATCAGCTAGAAATACATTATTGATTCTCAGTTAAAAAAAAATTCTGCCTAACAAGTCAGGACTCATGCTGATGAAGTTACATTACTATTCTGTTTGTACACATTAATTCTGCTAAATATCGTTCTATTGGGTTCTCAGTTTCTTTGATTTATACAGGTTAGACACTTGTCTTAAATCCATTGTTCTCTTTTATTATTTAAAAAAATAATATCTTTTATAATTATATTTGCTTTCTATGAGCAAAGGCAAGATGTTCCAAAGAAGCATTCAGTTTATAGTAATTCAGGAGAATGGGTTGTCAATATACATGAAGTTTTACTCAAGTGAAGGCACAAAAATCTTGCAACAATTTGATTTTAAATCATGAAGTGTACAAACAGAAGTGTAAATACCTGATATGGTACAACTAAACTTTTTAAAGTTTTGCTGTTATAAACATATTTTGTAAGTTATTCCAATTTAAGCGATCTCTATAAATGTAATACAGAACAAACAGATTTCACTGTTCACAAAAGTTTTCACAATGGACCCTCAGAATCCTTCTGAACTAGACGTGTAACATTTTGGAAAAAATGCCAGTACAGTAGCACAGTCATGACTATAGGTACACAATAAAGGAGAAATATAAGTGCCATTCATAGGGTGCAGGCACAGAGGCAACTTCATGTTTTCTGGCAAAACACAGTAATATGGGGAATAACTCGTTTCAGCACTGTTGATATTTATTAAATGACTGAGTGTTAAATCAGTTTATGAATATTATTCAATGTAAAAAATGAAACAAAAAATGTATGGGAACATACATCTTAGTGAAAATGAAACATACAAACCAGGAGATAACTGTATTTCTTTTATACGTGCGTGTGTGTGTATAAATATATAAAAACAAAACTACAATAAAGCTCTTCTTCATTAAGACAGAAACAAGACAAACTGTTTACAACTTGACTTAAAAAAATACCAAATGCTTTACTTTACATGTAGTATACTAAATTTGGCATTTAAATCAATTCTTAGGACCTATTTTCTTTGCACAAGGGAATCTTACCAAGTCCCCCTTTTGAAAGAAAAGAGAAATCCCAGCACACAACAAAGCTGAAGGATCTTGCAAATATAAAGCCCACCTGAACTGAGACTGAAATCACAGCCTCAGTGCAAATTATGCTTCAGAAATTATAAAATGCAACCTAATGCTGTTTGACATATATTGTTGGGATAAGAGTAGGAAATCTGTACTTGGCACAGTAAATCTGGATCTATGTGCATAACACTAAATACACAAAAATCAAAGCTAGATCAGTAAATTATGCCAAGGATCTTTCATTTTTCATTCCAGGCTATTAGCCATTTTTAGTATGCTTTACTCATCTCCACCAGAAGGAAAACACTCCGGAAATGTATCCATTACTCAGCTCAATGGTTACCTCTATTAGTAACAACTATTTGCAAATATCAAAAATATGCAGCTACTATAAAAGGCAAAAACCCAGTTCAACAAAAGGAATTACATTTACTTTTGTTATACCTGTATTTTTACATTCTCTTATTTTACAATTAAGAACCAGAGTTGACATTTTTACTAAATTCCAGAAATATTTCTACCAATCCATTTTTAATGGCAAAAAGTAGCACTAACAGAAATATACTGCCAACTTTATTTCAGCTGCCATGTTTCACCTTCCTATTTAAGCCTTTGATTCCTTCTTTAAGTCTGTTATTTCTTTTTGTGTCCCCTGCTGGTACATGAACCTGAGACAACATCCCACTTAACTCTCAACACACTTAGAGCATTTACTACCATAATTTGTTCTCTCCCAGAGGAGTGGCAGTGACACAGAAAGCCTGACTGAAAAACTAACATTTAACACATACAGAACTGTATTTTCACTTAGGACTATACTACATTTTATTTGACTTTTGTAAGTTTTGCTCTGTAACATCTATAAATGAACTCCCATGAATAAAAAACACATGTAAATCAGGAAACTAAATCTGAAGTTAAATGTAAGAAATGGAAGCTGGGCAGACGGGCATGTCTACAGACTTCAATTTCAGTGCAGATGCAGTGGAAGTTCTTTCAAGAAGAGAAAAGGCCACTGGAGAGCCATTACTAGGTAGGGTTGTTTTTTTTTCCAATTGTCAAATATAAGGAATCATGGGAATTAGGAATCAACCCTAAAAATGGTACATTATATAATGTCAACACTTCTATGTATTTTAAAGCAGTGCATTGAAAAAAATCATTGTTTAGTGTGCTACTCTAGCTGTCTAGACATTTGATGCATACAAGACTTCAGATACATGAAATAAAATAGCATGTTAGTTTGTGAACAACCAGAAAAGAATTCTAGTGTTACATATTTGTTTAATAGTCTTCAGAAAATGACTTTACTACCAGAAGGGGGATGGACTGAAAAATCAGGGTGGTGGGCAGCAACTGGTAATAAATTTTACTGAAGGTTAATACCTGGATTTAGCTAGAAAGCAGAAGATACTGACAGGTCACATTTCATAACATAAAGAGCAAAATCTGGTTATATTTCCTGAATTTGACTAAAACTCACCAGGAAAAAAAATAAAACAAAAGCAACACAAAACAAAACAACAAAACCCACAAAATCACCACCGCACCTGTGCAAGGACAACTGTATGGACACTGAAATAATCCACACAGAATCTATGAAGGGCTAAGTGCTACAGTCTTTACAGAAGTATAATTTAAAATACAAAATTAGTATTTTTAAATACAATTAAGAAATGAAACTGTAAAACTCATAGAATCTTTCAAGATTACAAAGAGAACAGTCTGACTTCTTGCCTTTTTAAGAAGTGGTTCAATCACGTTTCATAAAAACTGAGAACACTATTATCAGCCAAAATAAGAGAAGTGGCATGCAGAATGTAGAAGATAATTGCACAAATACCTGCTCCCTCCCAAGATGAGTTAATTACCTGTTATTACTTACCTATGTTCATGTCAGGTGCTGCAAGAAGAAAGTGATTCAGTACATACTGAAGGATATTTAAATCCAGACATGAATAGTATAAATAAATCTAGAGTGGTTATTTTAGTAAGTCGGTGAAGCTCAAGACGACAAAAGAAATGCTCACCTTCTTTAACGGTGACGATATTCTCTCTCTCTGTCCCGTTCTCTGTCACGATCTCTGTCACGATCGCGGTGCCTCTCCCTCTCCCGGCTCCTTTCCCGGTAATAGTCATCGTGACGGTCTCTACTACGTGATTTGTGCCGCCTACTTTTTTCTCGTGACCTACTGTGGTCCCTCTCTCTGGATCGCTCACGTCTTCTAAAAGAAATTACTTCATTAATTTTTTTCTTCAAAATATTTGCCACCCCCATGCCGGTTTTGTACTCTGCTTACGAGTATGAATTTGATCACAAATAGGTATAAGGGTAAGATCTGTTCATTGTGATGCAGGTATGTTTTTGTATATAACATTAAAGGTGCCTGGTACAAACAGTGGTGGCTAAGAACTCAGTTACAGGTAGTAAGGGGCTCCCACTTTCTAATGTAGCAAGGAAAAGTCAAAGTACATACTCAGAATGGAGGATGACTGAAATCAGCTGGGGGAAATGCACCACATATCAAACGATCACTACAACATGGCTGTTAATCTGCATATGGAAAATATGGGCCAAAACCACTAAGTAAAACTAAGAGTTAAACTGAAGCTAATCAGATCAATTTTGAAAAGAGGGTTAATTAAAAGGCAGCTTTCCTAGGTTCAGGAAATCTTTATTTGGTTCCTTCACACATTTCCTATGCAACTCAGCAAATCACTGACTTCTTACAAGCCTAGATTCTTCTCTGTAAACTAGTCCTGCACCACACCGTCTCTTTTCTAAGTAAGAGCAGATGGAAGAGGAAAGTTTTACCTGGATCCAGAACCATAAGACTTGGACTCAATTCCATGAAGGCAGTCCTGAAGAGAGCTAATAAGTACTTTGCAGCGATCATCTGCAGATACTTTGGACTGTTTGATTAAGGAAATCGCAGTTACCAAGGTCTCTATAGCACTTCCATAGTCCCCTGAAAACGACGTAAGATCAAGATCAGAAAGTTATGCAAATTAAAACAGATTTTTATCTGTAACAGTATTACCATTTTGCATCTAGACAATTTACTGTAACACCAAATATTAAAATACTGTCCTGATCAGTACTCAGAAGGTTTTCTTAGAAACTAACAGAAGCACAGTACAAAATCAGTCATAAGTTGTATCTACATTCAGCATTCTACCAGGAAAATGTGGCTTCAGCCCTTTCAGATTCCTAATTTTTAAAAAACCCTATAAATTCTTTTCAGTTGTGTAGAATAACAAACACATTGAGTTTTACTAACCAGCACTGGCATCTGATACAGCTCTTGAAATGGCACTGCTTGAGATTGCCCTATTTCTATTCATGATTTCTTCAAATTCTGCTTCACTTAAAGGTGTCCTCGCAGCATCCATTTCTCTGCAAGCAATAAAACTAGTATTTAAAATGTTAAGGCAAACTTCAGAAGCTATCATTGCAATTTCAACAATCCAAGTTTGCAATTTTAAGCAGTGACAAACAGAAAAGAAAGCAGGATCTGGGTTTGGTTTTGGTTTTTGTTAAGGACCATCGTTACAATACAAAATCCTGAAAGCTTAAAAAAAAAAAAAAAAAAATACCCCAACAAACCAACCAAACAAAAAACCCCAAAGAAACAATTAAGACAGACTTTTTTTTTTGGTTCACCCCATCTATTTCAAACATTCGGCAGCACTTAATATTGTGCTTGACAAATATTTACAATTTTCGCAAAATCCTTGCAGGTACATAAATAGATATTCCCAACTGAATGGATGTGGAAATACATGTACATAGGCAATGCAGCTTTGAGCAAAATTAGAGAAAATTTTCATAACAGTACTGGAATCAGAACTATATGATCCTGTTTCCCAGATCTTAACTAAGACCAGAATGCTGTAACTTTTGAAAAACATATAGAGTTATCATCTTTAAAACACTCAATTTTCTGAATGATAGGTCAGCATTTTACAGCAATTTTTTTTCTTAAATTTCTGGTCAAGTTTAAGGTACTCCAATTTAATCTCCCTACTAGTCACAGTAAGGAGGAAGCAATAAAGCAGAATCCTTGTGCTCATTACACTTCAATTATCAGCTACCTATACAGGGTTTGCAAAGTAACAGAAGTAAACCTAAATTTTCCCAAAAGTTTTGCAGTGTCCTATTAGCCAGTCTCTGTGTCACATAGAAAATTTGGAGAAATGTGTTAAGAGATAAATGCTGAGACTGTCAAACTGGCCCACTGCTTGATATTTCTAGAACAGTGTTAGTTCTTCTGGTAGAAAGAAAATGCAGAATAATAAGCAATGCTATCCTCTTAATTGCAAGAAGTGGAACAAGATCCTATAGCCAGTTTAGCATAAGAGGAAATGTCTAAAAATTCATACCTCCCTGAGTTTTGAGTATTATTTTTCGTGTGCCTCCCATAGAATGGAATATGTAATTTTTCTCTTATGGACATGTTATTTCCAGTGAAACGCCTATGATATATAATTAATGACAATTTAAATAGTTATGGATGATAGCTTCAACATTATTAATGAAAATACTGGACAGTAAGTTATACTGTCCTATTCCCACTCCTTCCCTCCCCAGACATTCTATAAACTGCAGACAACCTTGATTTAGTCCATCAAAAAACACCCAACACCTTATACTCATATATTTTAGGCAATTAAGCCAAATGCTTGGATTTCTAGAGGGTTTTTTTTGTATGAACATCACATGTACACAAATGCTTGGGGGTTTTAAACTTTGCAGTAAAAAAAGAATCAAAGCACAGTATCTTTGCAGGAAACATTTTAAGCCAGAAAAGTGTGTCTCATGCTAGCAGTAAAATTATTACTGAAAAATTCAAATCTAACTATGTAAAATCGTCTCTTAGAATTTATGCCAAAATTTTTGACAAATACAAATATGGTGAAAATCAAGAAACAGCAGCAAGACAGAGATGCTTGAAATCACAGATGAAAAAGATGTTTCAAACAAGATGTGAAAAACTTGACAAGTCAAGTCAGGGACTTAAGAACTCTGTCACAGATAGGATTAACCACAGGAAAAGCCACTGCTACAAACACAGCAAGATTGCACCAAATGAGCAGAAACATCTTGATAGGAAAGGAAGGTAAAAGTCTTGCAGTAAATTCACAACTGGCTTTTAAGACAAACACTAAATTTTAATTAAATTCTGAAGAAAAAAGGGACAAGCAACACTGCTGAAAGATGAAAATGGTATGACCTCAACATATGCACATATTCAAAAAGGAAAACTCCAGAGCATTCTTAAAAGGCAGCCTGCAAAGCACCATGATACAGGTAAAAGTCAGAATTTCAAGTTAAGACAGAAGCACAACTAGAAGCTGCTGCATAAGAAATGATATATAAGTTTACATGTAGAACACATGGAATGATGACACTGCCAATACAGCGAAGACAAACAGTTCAGAGCTGAAAAGGGAAGTGAGATTACTGGTGTTGCATTTCAGGATTTTCCTCCTGCTGCAAATATGTTTCTCAGATTTAATCCCTCGGAGAAGTTAAAAGGGGCAAACTGCAAGATCTGTGGGATCCTTTCTGGCCCTACTTCTAATTGTTCCTAACATTTGCATTAAAAGGGAAAAAAATCAAATGCTTCCAACAAGAGGAGTAAAATCTGCTACCCAAACACATTAGACAAAAAGAACTCACCTTCCAGGTGGCCCATAGTCACCTCTGTCATATGGTGGAGGTCGGCCATATGGGTCTGTCGGAGGCGGGCCCCGGCTGTCTGAAGTGGGTATGCCACTATTGGCAGGTGGGGGGAAGAAAGCCGGATTCACATGTGGTGCTGGTGGTGGAGCACCTGGCGGTGGCCCAGGGAGATGTGGAGGAGGAGCAAGAGTCAGGGGTGGCCCAAGAGGGCCAGGTGGACGAGGGGGAAATGGACCCGGAGGTGGAGGTGGACCCTGCTGAGGTGGTGGTGGACCTGGTGGTGGCCCATAGCCTGGAACTGGTGGTGGAGGGCCTGGAGGAAGTGGCCCAAGTGGAGGCTGACCAAAAGGCTGTCCTGGAAACAGAACTGGTGGTGGTGGACGATCACCACGATTAGGAGGTCCAGCTAATGGAGGTGGGAGGACCTGACCAGGTGGTGGAGGGCCTGGTGGGCCTGGTGGGCCAGGAGGACCTAAGGGTGGACGTGGGGGAGTTTGTCCAGCTAAAATAAAAACAAACAAAAAACAACAAACAAATAAAATTGAGTGAATAAATACAAAGAAATAAAATTCTTCCTTTTTTTTTCCCCCAAAAAACAATTACAAAAAAGAAACCAACCCTTCCTCCCTGAACACTGTGCAACATGTATGTCCAAGATATTAATACTCCTGCTTTGGGTCCAGTAGCTTAGAAAATTTTTAGCTTATCTGTATCTATTGAAACTAAACATCCAGAGATATTTAAAAAGAACAACATTAACTTGTACACTGACAACTCCCTTCCTCAAATCACTTAATCACCAGCTGTTGTTTCCAAAACCCACAAGAAGATTACGAAAGCTAGAAAACATTACATCTTACTGCAGCTAGTCATTCATGTGGGGCTTAAGATAAAATACATATAAAAAATATGGGAGAAGCTGTATTGGAGAAAGTAATGTAATTGCAGTATCCAAACATTCCTTTAGATTCTCAGCTGTTTTTTCAATTTGACTATGTCCCTTGGACTGTTGGTAGACAATCTATTACTGAATGACATTTACTAAAAAGCATGTCAGCTGAAAAAAGAACTTCATGGCAGTGCAAACCTAACTGTTTAATGTATTTCCTCTATATCAGGTACCTAACTAAACATGAAGATCTCCTCTTCAAATTTCTGGTGTTTCGAGTGCCTACTAACTGACCACTCAGTGGGCATGAATCAAAGCTGAATTTCTGATCACATGCAAACTTGTACTACAATAAGGAAATCAGTTACTTTACACTCCTCAACACAGGCAATTCTGAGCACATATAGCAAATCACAAAACTCAACTACCCTACACTGAAGTCAAATCTACTTGCTAATGTATATTGACATAGTGTAAATAATGTATCTAAAAAAGCTCTTGCCTTGCTATCAAATTCACTAGGTCCAACTTCCTGTTGAATATCAACAAATGAACAGTCAAGTCCTACAATCTAGCTGTAAACACTGATTATGGCTCATTACTGAACTGCCTTGATCTTAATCATTTCCCAAATAAGTATGCCATATTGAAACACATGTAAGACTGGAACTCCATATATGCACAATTGTACCTGGGAAAGGTGGTGGTGGTCCTCCTGGCCCTGCCGGTCCAGGGAATCTGTCTCCACCTGGAATGGCACCTGGAAAGCGGCCCCGACCTCTGTTACTAGGTGGAAATGCTGCTCGTGAGCTTCCTCCTGGGGGACCAGCTTTACCTTCCCCAGACATCTGGCCAGACTGTGTGGCTGCAATGGCAAAGCAAAAGTGTCATTACATCGATCAAAATAGGCTGAAGTATTTCAACCCCTGACCTGAAGTTTTACGCAGTGCTAAAGCGAGACCTTATGAGCACCAACTTGCTCCCTGTACCCAAAGCCAATGCATTTGGGAAGGAAAACATTCTTCGCTAAAATATTAAGCCTCACACTAAAGGAAGAGGATTGGAGAGACTGCCACTCCTTCCTTCCATGAAGCCCAACACCACACTGAGAAACACAAGACATGGTGCTAAAGTACAGCATGGAACCTCTCTTCCCCATTCTATCATAAATACAGATAGTCCACATATTAGAATTTAGTCCAGTTTGTCTACAAATGTTCAATTTCTAAATGCTCTTGAGCTTTTTTTTTTATAATTATGTCCACAGGAAATTGAGAAAACATCCACAGCTGTTAAGACAAGAGTTGCACGAAGCTGCAACCCTCTGTCAGAATGCAGCAGCTCTTCAGTGTATGAAGTGATTTCTTTACACAAAGATAGAAGTTCATTTACCTGCACCTAAGTGTTTTATGGCTATTTTAAACTGTGTAAAAATTACAACATGCTGGGCTAAAAACCTGCCATTCTACTTTTTCTGCTTTTCCAAGACAGCACTTAAGAAAAGCTTACTTTTCCTTGACTGCATTTCAAATTGACTCAGAAACTGTTTATTACATGGAGTTACAACAGGATTCTGCCCATGCAATTCTCTTTTAGGCAACAAATCCATCAGCTTTTTGGAGGATGCTTCCGATCCCACACCCACAAGGGCAAACCTGAAAGGAAACAAAAACAGTTACACCACAATTTGTTAATTTTCTGACATCCTGACATCTCATGAAAAAGATTACACACAGTAAGCAAAGGAATACTTGACAACTAGACACCAACAATGTCTCACAGGTCTTAGTCCAGTTTTCAGAACAGGTAAAATAATTTATTCTAGGACATAAAAGAAGGAAACAAAACAGCAAGTACAGGATGCATCAAAGTTTATCCCAACAAAGGCAGCTTTTTGGCAGAGAATTAATAGACTACATAATGAATTCATATGATGAAGTTATTAAGCATACACTCATACACTGTGCTCATTGCTGCCAAAGATGCAGAAAGGCACATTCATGCAGTGAAATTTAGGTTGTCAGTGAAAAATGGGCTCAAGCACTTACTTTAAATAGCTAATAGAAAATAAAGATGTAAAGAAAGATAGAATAATGAAGGCTGGGGGAACAGCATTTACACTGAAGAAAAACAAACATCACCACCACACCAAAAAAAACCATTTAGAAATAGTCTTATATGAAGATCATCAATGAGCTTCAACTCACAAAATAATGAGACACACAGTACCATCACAAAAATTTATACCTGAAACTTAAGTCACTAGAATGAAATTGTATGGCAAATCATTTCTGGATCAATAAGCTAAGATGAGCAGTTCAAAGATTGACAATTATGAAAATTGAGAACTCCTTCCTCTCCCAAACTTCAGTCCACATGCAGAAAAAAACAAGTTCTTACCCTTTAGACTGGCCATTAGCACGATTTTCAAAAAATTTTATCTCCAAAATGTCATTTACCCCCAGTGAATGAACTGCTTCAGTTAAGTCTTCATCTGTTGTCCACTGAAAAATATTTTTAATATTCAGCTATGAGAGCTTATCTAAAACACCAGGCAAAGGGCAACTAAATTTTCCATGGATTTTTGAGTGTGTGTGTGTGTAATTGATGCAGAGGAATATTTTATTCATCCTGTCAATATATTCTGACTCTTGGAGCAGTCATTTTCATTTTACAATTCAACAATTAGTTCAGCTAATTCACACACATTTTGCTGATTCCATTCATGTACTTCACGATGGGACAACTGAAGTCAGTCAGGTCCTTTACTTACCTATTAGCTCCTGAAGTACTGTAATAACTAATGAAAAAAACACCCACAGTAAGAAATTATCAGAAATGAAAAAAATTAATTTATTAAATTTATCTTTTAAAATAGAATTTTGCATATGTAGGCCCTGAAGAACTTGATTTCATGTAACCAGATAAAAGCTCAACTTAATTCAGCACTGACCAGTCCTTGCACTGTTTGCTTTACTGCAATTGATTTTAAAGTACTTTCATTCTAATAAAAGTAATTTTCCTAAGGGCACCTACAGTTCAGTGAGTTATCATAAACCTGTTCTTCTTGGACAGAGAAATAAGCCTCAAGACAAGTACCTGAAAAACAGTTATGCTGAAAGAGTCACTGCCGATGGAAATGGCCTGGAAAAATGTGAAAAGTAATTTCAAGAAAATCCCAGAGCAACCTCTTTTTAAACTAAAACCTTCAGCAAGAGTTCAGGAAAAATCTGGCCTGTTTAGCAACCTTGAAATGCTAACAGGCATGAAGTATTTAACAGTTTAAAATTGTTCTCTTCTTTCATTTGGTTCTCTGAAAACCTTAAGAACACAGTAGCACAAATATACTTTCATAACAGTTAAAATGTGACAGAAACTCTCAAGTTTATATTTACTGAAGACTTTCATGATTTTTAAGACATCATGACAGCTCCACACAGGCTCTCTGAATTTCAGGTAAAAAGAAAAATGATCTCACAACCACAAATGAAAACGGAAGAAAATCAAACCAACAACAAAAACAACTGGGTTGTGATACACATAATATTTCAAATAAAACATTTTAAAGCAAAAAATTTTACAAGTAGTTACATCCATAATTAAAATTCCTGTCTACAACTAAACAGCAGTAAGATACTTACCCAAGTGAGATTTCCAATGTACAAGGCAATTCTCTTTCCAGTATAGGTATAGACAACATTTGGTGCAGCTCCTTTACCTACATCATCCCCAACAGATGGTGGAAGAGAATCCATGTAATCACGATCCTCTGGAGCATCTCCATTATTTGCAGATGGAGAAATTACATCATCATACAAATCAATCTGATCATGCCCACCATATTCAGCCTCCTAAAATAAAAAAGACATCTTGATTATAATTAATATTACTTTTAAAACTTATTGAAGCAAAAGTTGTGATAACTGCCATGTTCCAGAGACACAGTAAGTCTGATCAACCACCTACAGAACATCCCTGTTGAAAAGCTAAGCACCAGTTTCCTCTACATCAAAACATATAAAATTCTTATGACACTTACTACATTCTAAACCTATGTGGAAAAAAATACTTCTGGCCACTGTTCTCCATGCCAATACTTTTGCCCTTGTAATATAAGCAGAAATCAAAAAATCTACAAACCCTACTCCTGGAATTGTATACATCAGAATGCAGAAGTTTCATGCTTTAATCCCAGATTGCAACTAAGTACCAGACAATTGCTTACTCACTTCTCCCTCCTCAAACACTCCATGGGACAGATGAGAAAAATCAGAAAAAAATAAAATTTGTGGGATAAGAAAAGTTTCAAAACTGAAATAAACTGCCTGTCCCTGAGCAGTGATCAGCCTCTTCCACCCAACTCCCACCAGTTTATGTACTGGGCACGGTGCTCTTCCACCTGATGCATTCCTACAATATAGCAGGACCCATCAATAAACTAAGTATATTGCATCTCATTTTGTGGTAGTTTATTATATAATGGGGTCCCTCAGCACGTGTTACCTCCTCCTCTGGTGACATTCTGACATCTTTGTCTTTTAGACAGTCCATGATTATTTCCAAGATTCTTGGGCAACTGGGATATCCTATTTGAGCTCATTATATGGTCACCGCAACCCATTTATTTCACGTAGCACCAGCTGCACGATGTGAAGACCACCCCCCTTTGAACATGCAGCCCAGCCCTGGCAGCCACTGGGGAGCTGGAGGAGCTGTGCTTCAGCACCAATCCCTTCCAAAACAGCTCCTTGATTGGACTCAAGTATCTCTTTCAGCAGGAGTATAGGAGGCCCCAGACAGTCAGTCTCCCCAGGTCCATAACAGAGGGCTGGACATGGCCTGGAGTTTCTCCTGGTGCTTTCTATCAGACACTATATTGCAGTTAGGGCCATTTGCCCTGGCTGCAATATAGAGCACTTTTTTACATCTTGCCCTGCCCAGACTGGTCTGGGGGCTGCTGCATGAACTATGTAACATTTAATTTGTTCAAAAGCTTTTTGTTGCTCAGGGCCTCATTTGAAATCATTCTTCTTCCAGGTCATTTGATAGAGAGGGCTTACTTACAAATAGACTGCAATCTGGAATATGTGCATTCTCCAAAAACCCACAACACCTAAGAAAGCTTGGGTTTGATTCTTACTAGCTGGTGGAGACATTGCTGCTGTTTTGTTGATCACATCCATTGGCATCTGACAACATTCATCTTGCCATTTTATTCCTAGAAACTCAATATCCCATGCAGGTCCCTTGACCTTACTATGTTTTATGGTAAAAACAGCTTTTAGAATAATTTGGACTATTTTCTTCCCTTTCTCAAAAACTACTGCTGCTGTATGGGCCCACATGATGATATTAGCAATGCATTGCAGGTGTTCCAAAGCTTCACCCTTCACCCTGTTCTAATGCAGTCTGGATCAGTCCATAGAATTGGCAGCGCTGTGTTTCCACCCCTGGGGCACTGGATTCCAGGTCTACTGGACATTCCTTTAAGTGGAAGTAAATTGTGGCCTGTCAAAGCTATTGAGGCACATTAGCAACGTCAGCTGTTGCAAACCACTTGGCAGCTTTTGACTGCAGCTCATATGGGAGTTCCAGCATGCCCAGTACAGCAGTACTCAGCCACAGTGTGACTTCATTCAGGCCACCATAGCTCACTGTGGTTCCCTGTTATCCAGGCCATATGGTCCTGCTGATCACTGCTGGATTTTCCAGCTGATAAATCAGCCTGTGAATGGGAATCATGGAGTCTCATTGCTGCAATGCTGCTGCTGGTGCAACGCCATGGTAGTGACCAGCACCTGTTCTCTGACCTTCAGCAAGCCCAACAGAAGTGTCCTCTGAGAGAACAGGCAAGGCAGGCAGCTGCTTGGCTTCCTCCACCTCCAAAGCAGTGGTACTGAACACCCACCTTTGGGTCCTTGAAATACCCTCTCCTAAGGCAGTCTGTGCCAGGGATGCACAGAACATTCAGGCCAGACACAGACACGGCTTCTGCCACACGTTCCCGGTCCGGCTCACTTCAGCCTCCAGTTTCGTCAGCTGTTGGGTTCCCCTCTCTCTCCAGAAACAGAAATAAGTTCTGCCCCTGCAGAGCTGGATGGCATTGGGGTACCCTGTGCACTAGAGTCTTCCACTCTTGTGGGCCTGATGTGCCAGGCCACAGGATCCCTACACTCCTGCAAACCCAGCATATGAAAATGGCATGCTTGGACAAGCTGCCACAAGGATCACATGCACTGGAATTCTTCTGGGTCTGTGGGTGACTGCACACTGTCTGGGTCATAACAAAGGCACTGGATACCTCTGTGGTGGCCCTGGGTGACAGGGAGCATCTTCCTTGAAGGGATGTCTTTCCTTCACACTCCACAGGAGTCACCTCCCAAAGGCTGAGGCCCTTTGCCAATCACCTTGTCCATGCCCCCTTCCTTACAAGGTGATCCCAGCTGCCTGATTTCCTTACCCTGATTCCAAGCTACCAGCCCTGTTCCCCAGCATCCCTGCAGTCAGGTGATCACCTGGGTTATGGCTGAAATCTCTTTGCATATCCCACAGCTCTCTCAGGGATGGGGACTGAGTGGTTCCCTCTTGTTCCACCTCTTCCTCCTGCTCTTGTGAGGTCCCTGCTTTGTTCTCCTTTGCTAAACAAACTCCCTTGTGTCCATTTCTCCTGGTGGGAAGGGGTGACTAATGCCAGCAGGGCTGGTGCTCTGGGGCAGCTGCATCACCCACTGCAAGGGTGTGAGCACCTGCAGCACCTGCCACAAAGGCCTGAGTAGCCACAGTGCCTGTCACAGGGTTTGAGTAGCTGTAAAGAGCTGTCTAACCCTAACCAAGACCTGGCACACAATCATGATTCCTGGCAACAGAGCCACGTTTCAACCTCCCAAGGATATTAAAAATTTTCAAGAGCTATTGTCATTAGTCTGGCAGAGGAGGGGAAGATGTAGGATCATGGCTCCTCCACAGGTTAAGTCTCAGAAGATGAAAGGTAAAAGGTGTAATCATTAATAGTTTGCACATTAGATAGATCACTCACAAAGTACAAAGATGACAGCAGAACTGAGTACAAGTAACAAATTACTTTCACAACCAGCAATTCTGTAGTATCATATGCTAGTGCTCACAAGATCATCAAATGCCTTGGGTTAGAAGAAACCTTAAAAATCATCTAGTTACAAGTCCCCTGCTGTGGGCAGGAATATCTTCCACTAGACCAGACCGCTCATGTTAAAACACAACAACATCAGACCAGTTCCCACAGGTGAAAAACAACACAACAGGAAGCACACACTGGAAGTAAGGAGTTAAAGGATGGAGCTCTGATAATAAGCAGAACAACTGCTTGAGAGTTGAGTGCATAAAATCAACATTGTGTCCAACAACTATTAAACTAATTAAGAAATGCTTAAAGCAATTTTGTTCTAGCATGTTCTGGTCAGATTTGTTGTTTTCTCAACCTGTCAAGCCCCATGATGGGTGATCAAAAAAGGGCTATTGTACTTTAACTCCAGCTGGTAACTAAGTACCACACAGACATTCCCTCACTCCACCCCCCAAACTCTGTGGAACAGGGGAAGAGAATATGTGAAAAGGTAAAACCCGTGGATTGAGACTGGAACTGTTTAATAACTGAAATAAAGTAAAATATAAAAAGAATAATGGCGATGATGAAAAAGACAACAAAAAGGGATGAAATAATGCACAAGCCAGTCAAGTGAGGCATAACGACTGATGCTCACCACATGCTGACCAATGCCCAGTCCATCCACAAGCAGCAATTGCCCCTCTGAGCCAACTTCCCTCAGCTCCCTGTGCTCTCATACCTTGCTGCAGAACAGAAACTGCCTCCACCAGGTTTTGGTATCAGAGATATTTCAGCAACCACTCTGAATTTGTATCCAGAAACTCCCAGAAGCATCCTGGACAGAATAGTTCAAGGTACCATACATGGCAGCTAGAGATAACCAAACTGGACTCCACAAAACACAGGCCACACAGGTGGAAATGCTTGCTGTAAACCCAAGATATGCACAACCATGATCAGAAGATCCACCGTCTTAAAAATATAAAAATATTATCAAGTAATGCTCATACAGGGAAAGTGTAACTAAAACAAATAATATAATTGGAAAAAAAAAAACCAACAGGTAAACTGAATTTTGGCATTGTGAATCAAGTGCATTTAATCCTCAGAAAACTGCATTGTCCCAATAAACTTCAAAAGAAAAATCTCTCTCTAAAGGTAAGCTTATCACAAATAAATTAAGGGTTTCATATTTCACCTAGTCTATCCAGTTCTCAGTTTGATTCCTCCTACCATCATAACTAATGAAATCAGGTACACAGAACTGCCTGAGACAGGCCCAAACACGACATCTTACAGCTAGATTAAGGTTGATGACACAGGGCAATTAAGGAAATCCTCTGCTAAATGTACGTAACTCTAGTCATCTATGCAAATGAATGATTACTTCAGGGAAGTAGAACTTAGTCTTGGTAGACACATGCAAAACACAATTACCAAACTTACAACAGATGTATGTACACTAACCAATCTCTCTGAGGTCAACATTGCCAAAACACCAGAGTGGGCAGCAGTCCACAGCTCTGCTGCAACAAGAAAGTCCTTTGAAACAGATCATTTGTATCACACAGGCTTTCAGGTCTCCGTCAGTGGAGAGAGAGAATTATTAAGGCAGCAGAGTCTGCATGTAATTGGGAGGGGGCAGGGCAGGCCCAAGAGCACCAGCGTCTTCATTTAAATAAATAAGGACACAAGAGAAAACCTGATATTGTTCACTAGAATTTCTTCTCACATCATGCTGGTTTTGCATCCAGCATGGAATTCATT